ACTGAGTAGCCTCTGCTTTAAGATGCGATGATCGACGGTATCAAACGCTTTGGAAAGGTCAATAAATAGAGCTGCACAACTCTGCTTATTGTCTAAAATACTCGTAATGTCATTCACCACTTTCATTGTGGCAGTGATGGTGCCATGTTGTTTTCTGAAGCCTGACTGATATTTAGACAGGATATAATTTTTACATAAAAACTCCTTTACCTGTTCACTCACTAAGCGTTCAAGAACCTTAGCCAGAACTGACAATTTAGGGATTGGCCTATAGTTATTTAAAATAGTTGCCTCCCCTCCTTTCAGTAAAGGCAAGACATAAGCTGACTTCCATACTTTTGGAATTGCATTTGTGCTGAGGGAGAGGTTAAAAAGAGTAGTAAGAGGAAGAGCAATAAAATCTGCAGCTATCTTTAAAAAGAAAGGTTCTACGTTGTCCGGGCCAGCCGGTTTCTTAGGATCTAGCTTAGATAAGGCTTCATGAACAACATTGACAGTAAAAGAAGTAAAACTGAAAGGGTTTTCCAGACCACATTGTTCAGAGTCACGGATTGGGGTGTTCACAGAAGCAGAGTTAGTCACAGAATCAAACAGAGAACCGCAGGACACAAAATGCTCATTAAAGCAATTTAACATAGTGGCCCTGTCCGATATAGTGCCAGATGCTGTGGTAAGGCACGGAGGTAGCTCATTACGGATATCACCGGTGGATATCGATTGTATTGCTTTCCAACATTTCCTAGGATTATTTAGGTTTTCTGTGGTAACTGACAAATAGTACTTCGACTTTGCACTTTTGACATTTGAAGTGAAGCTATTCCTTAGCTGCCTAAAACGCAGCCACTCTACCTCTGAGCCTGATTGCCTAGCCTTTGCCCAGGCCTTGTTTCTCTCATGAAGGAGACTAGACAGCTCAGCAGAAAACCAAGGATTGTCTCGTCCCTTTACTCTAAATTTACGCAGGGGTGCATGTCTATCAATGATCTCCATAAAACCAAGATAAAAATAAGACCATGCGGTTTCCACATCAGCACACAGATCAATTTTACCCCAATCAAAATCAAACAGATCATGCACAAAACCCTGCTCAACAAAATATTTTTTGTCTCTCTTAATGATAATGCGAGGTTTAACCTTTTGGACCTTAGTGTCCCTAATTGTGGCTACAACACAGTGATCGCTCAGATCATTTGCAAATACTCCCACAGATGAATATTTATGGGGAACATTAGTTAAAATGAGATCAATTAGGAAGGATTTATTAGGGGACTTAATATTTGGGCGAGTAGGACTGTCAACAATCTCAGTAACATTCAAAGAGATACAAAGGTTTTTTAAATCCTCTGACACTACAGTTAACCAGTCCCAGTTAAAATCTCCAAGTAGCACTATTTCCTTGTAGTCTAGTTGTGATAAAAGATTTGCTAGTGAAGACAAGGAGTCTTTGACAGCTGAGGGGGGGTCTGTAACAACTCACTACCATGACCTGTTGACCCTTTGCCACTTCTATATTTATGGCTAAAAATTAAAATTGCTTACTGATCGATTTGGAAACTAATTACACTGAACTTATTCTTAACATAAATGGCAACGCCTCCACCTTTAATAGGCTGGTCGGTACGATACACATTAAAACCATTTAAGGCAATGTCAGAGGCCAAAATAGATTTGTTTAGCCATGTTTCTGATAAGACAATGACGTCAGCGTCAGTCGATTTTGCCCAGATATGGACAAAATCTAGTTTACCTAACAGACTGCGCACATTCAAGTGGATGAAACCCAACCCAGACCTAGCTTTAAAATCAGCAGGAGTAGCGATATGACTACTACTACTGGGCGGACCAGGGTTAGGTTGTACATTTCCTGACGGTAATAACAACAAAAAAAACAGGCATCTTTTCCTCTTAAACGACACAAATACATTGTCATCTAATTTAGAAACACCGGAAAAGTCTGCGAGAGTGTGATTAGAGCTTAAGAAGCAGTCCTGAAGAACCATCATCGCAGGAAAATAAAAAAGACAAACATATTTTGTCGAGCAGATTGACTGTGACAAGGCAACCGGTAATTGTTTGAGCAACACATCCGAACCTTTGCAGGGGATGCCCACTGCGGGTGGCAGAACAGACCTGAATCCAGTAGTCTTCTCAGAATGACTAGAGATCTTCTCATAGTCCAAAACAGTTAACAGGCACAGCAGAATCCCGATATGGGCCATTTTCCCAGACCAGCACACAGTATCCGCGATGTTCCTGGAGCAAAATCAGCACAGCAGCAAAGGACAGGCAAAAACAGCAGCGTGGTATCCCCGGGATGAAAGCAGGCCTCTGCAACAGCAGAACCAGGACAGGTGGAAAGCAGGCCCCAGCGGTGGTAAAATCCTCCTCCGCACAGCAGCACACGCCCGGTGGAAGCAGGCCAAGCCCGAAGCGTGGATCCACTCCGTCTCTCCGCGACGACTCCGGGGTAAAAACCTCTCCAGTACAGCCGTATTCTACAGGTGGGAGCAGGCCTCCGTAGATCGCAGATCGCAGGCAGCAAACAGGTGGAGCCGCTCCGTTTCTTCGCGACGAGCAGGCCTCCGTAAATCGCAGATCGCATGCAGCAACAGGTGGAGCCGCTCCGTCTCTTCGCGACGTCTCTGGAGGAAAAACACCTCAGTACAGCCGCACTCGACAGGTGGGAGTAGGCCTCCACAGTTCGCAGACAACTAAAACTACTACTTGTATAAGCAGGGATGGCTAAAAGTTTGTAAGCAGGAGAGCTAGATGCTGCTAGATGCTAACAGATGCCAGATGCTAACAGGTAAGTGCGAGCCTGTAGAAATTGCGACTGCCTCCAATGACAGCGTAGGTATGGTTGGGAATAAAACCTGGGTGTGAAAGGTCAATGTGTATTCAGGATTATTGAATCTGTTTGTTTATCATGTCAAAGGCTGTGAGGCGGCCAAGCTGTTGAAAAGTTTGTGAGAAACCCTGAATTGTATGATAACAACAACATGTTTGAATATTGAGGTCAGAGTCCCACATAATGTTTTGTATGAAATAATTTGTTCTATTAAACTCTATTGTTGCTGCTAAGTCTTAGACAAAAACAAAAGTAATCTCCAAAGAACATCACTTATCCAAGAATAGGAGGTACATTGCCAATGTCTGTTTTTATTTATTGCTTAATCTTCCAAGAAGGACATATTGGTTACATTATCAACATGATCTGAGTTTATTAGAGAATGTTCCTGAGAAAACAACAACGGCAGCAGCACAGGAATACCTCAACAATGAGCGCTGTTGTCAGTTAGAATGTCAGCCATGCATCTCTGCTGGGAACGGATGTATCTTTCCAGTTTGGCACCAATCCTGTTGAGGTACCTCCAAAAAGAGGCCAGCTTTCATTCTCCTTTGCCACTAAGAATAATAAACTTTCCCTCTCCTCTCTATTTGTATGTGACCAGTGCTTAGTATTAGTCAAGGCTGTCACTGGTGAGAGCCCAATTAGAGGTCTGAGACCGCCCGGGGGCTTATGTTCTGCTCTGTGTTTTGGGGAGTCAGTTGCCAAGCACTGCCATGTGCCCTGAAATCATTAGCGACTCTCTGGCACATCACTCCAGGACTCTAAATACTTTAATTCTCTGTGGTAGTCTCTCAATTGATTAATTGGTCGTCAACAAATAACACAGGCTTTTCTATTTGAACAAGCATCCAGTGTGTTGATATCGAGCTGTTTTACTGTTCATGTTTCTGTCACATGAAAACCTCAAGGTTGATTGGCCAAAGCTTCTTTTTTTTTTATTAGTGCTTTTAGTTTGTATATGTCTTTTTACGCTTTACCTTCATTTGGTGCTGCTGCAGATGGGTTTGCAAGTTGGAAATGTTTGCATTCAAGAATTATGACTTTTTAAATCCACCCCAGGTTCAGCTGTAACAGCATTTTTTGTCAAAGCTGCTAGAGGGAGGAGACGTTTAAACTTTCTTTAAGCAAATATATTCTACATGCTTCCATGTCATCTGGCTCAAAATATATGCCAAAGTCTACTAACTCACATTGTATAATAAATCACGGCACATACAAAATATTAGCAATAGAATCAAAAATAAAAAGTCTAGGACTGCAGTCAAAAGTTACATCAGTATATCAGAAGACAGCTGGACTGTTCAAAACAAACCAAACACACTTGTGGTCTCCTGCAACAAGTGTTAGCGGTGCGAGACCACCCACATAGTCGACACACTTTAAAACAAAAATTCAGCATAAAATATTGGAAAACACCACCTGAAGGCTGTTATGCTTCAGCCGCCACAAAATATAGGAACATTTGCCACTCACGTTCAAACCATTTCCAAGCCTGAATTGCTTATTGATTGGAACATTTCTGAGTTTTTATGATGAATGTCGACAGTGTAATGTAATAGCTAAACCTTGGAACAACAATATCACTGCTCTTATATAACGTTAAAGTGGCAATAGACAGGTTTTTGGCTTTAACCTATGATTGTGGGTTAAATGTTGATTGCAGAATGTAATGGCTAAAGAATAAGGACTCCATCAGTGTTTAGATTGGTTCACTATATAGTCTCATTTTGTCTGACTCCAGATATACGGCACAAAGCTGTGGAAAACAAAATGCAGTGTTGCAGACTCCAATTAAAGCAGCTAGCCTAGCACTAGCTCTAAAAGTAATTGAAAGTTGTCAGAGGACATCATATGCATTGTGCTAGCTAAAACAAACCAAATTAATGTTGTTTCACTACTAAACATCAAACCTTTCCAATAAAAATATCTTAGCAAAATACAAATATTTGCGTAATGGAAAGTATTTTGTGTCATTTTCAGTGTCATTACCCATGCTGCATGGACCTTCAGCCTTGTAGCACTTGTGGCTTGGATTGTACAACATCGAGATTGACCAAAGAGTCTTCCAAGTAAATAAATGTATAAATAACTGTTCCATGTTGATGACTGGTCACAGTTCAGTGACTGACCTGAGGACTTCATCACTCACCTATCAGGGGTACAGTCGGGTGAAGCGGGTTAACGCCCTCCGCATTTTGTGAGACCAATGGGATCTGAAGCCAACTCTTATCCTGCCTGCAGAGTTTCAACGGCAACAACCTGAAAGACACAGAGGACATGGTGTTCATTTATGTGATGAATTATCTGTATTAAAGAGGTTTGGTTATCTGTTCAGCATCCAAGCAAATCATCATTGAGTATAAATCATTAGGAACTGTCAGTCAAAGTCACTCATTGTTATATGTACATCCTTATATCACTTTAATTTGCATTTAAAACCCAACTCTTTGGTCATGGTTTTATTGCATCATGCCGGCACAAAATGTAGCTGATAGTGACTCATTAGAGGAAGAAGATGGTCAAAAATAAATGATGAAGATGGTGAAGTGTATAAGTAATCAAGGCCTAAACGCCTCTGTTCATGGTTGAGGAGAAACATTGTTTAAGCTGTCTGTATTGATTTTCCTTCTAGATAAAAATTGATGTACGATACAATGCAAATGAATCCAGAATTGCATTAGGAAATACATGTTTGGGTGTATTAATAGCATTTAAAACGTTACCAAACGTGGAGGTCTTTTAAGTGCAAATGAACCATATGGCCTCAACAACAAAACCCCAGAGTGTGAGAGGGGAGGGGGAGGAAGAAAAGCCCTGACCTTTGACTGTGTACAAAGCATTCCCCAGACTGTGGACCCATTGAACAGAGGTCCTTCAAAGGTTTTATATAAAGAGCAACTCTAATGTGACCGCCATGCACAACTCGGTGCAAATACTAATATCACCCAGGAAACTCATTCTCTATGCAACTGCCAATGAGCTGTCATTACTCTCCAACTCCACCACAGGACGGGACTGATGCATCCACCGCCTTGTTGTGTAGGTGCTTTGTTCATATGTAAAACATGTACTCTGTATATTTTTTTTCACACACACACCCCATCACCGCCATTTCTAAATCCAGTTGGTATTCTTGGCTTCACTCTGCTGAGAATATCTGTCTTCAATTCAACATCTGTTTAACAGTCCTGTCAGCTGGAATGGTGGATCATCTCTAATTCCTCCAAATGTGGCACAAGTCGTGAATACTGGCTTCAATTTAGGGGAAATAAGAAAGTAAATGCACATCCAAGCAGCTCTGCCAAGGTATAGATTAACTGCAACTGATTCTTATGTATGCACTTGGTTGGTCCCATCGGAACGTTACAGTGTAGCTGTGAGTCCAAAATACAAAAAGCAAAGCTCGTATTAAGTTTAGTGGCTGAAATGTTGTTTTCAATTTAGACCATATTTAGGTTTTTTTGAGCCACTAGGCTGTCAGTTGCATCAGATATCGTGGAAATGGCTGTTAGAAATGCTCAACACGTTTAAAAAATCTTATCTGCTCATTGTGTTTGCTCAGCCTGTATACTCCATCTAACTTCAGAGATTTAGTCGGTGATTTTATTATGCTTATCAGATGTGACAGCCTGTTTTGTCGTGACGATCTTCATGCTTCATAATGTCTTTGGCATAATCTACCGCAGACCGTAAAAGAAAATGGAAGAAAGTGAAAATATCTGCAAAATAAGAGGGAACAGAATGAATTGTCACTCTCCTTGATTAAGATCTAGCAACAGCGGCATTTCCGCACTTCATCCAGGACTTATGTTGTTATTCCTTCGCTTCACTGGGAAGGCAGAAGAGGGCTTGGTGTAAACACCTCCAGAGGGCTTTCGCTCTCATACAGTGCAGGTGAGAGGCAGCGCTCGCCCCACAATGCACCTCTGCAGCACTAGCACCGCACACAGCAGCTATCTTTCCCCTGGGTTCGGGGGGTCACTATTTTCCCACCGGGGGAAACCCTTTTCTGCTCATATAGGGCTGATGCATTATGGCCTCTGAATGAGTATGGTGGCTTTCAATGTGCATTCCTCTGGGTTTCGGTTCTTACAGAGGGCCACTGAATAAGAAATCAGCATCTCTATAAAACGCTCTTTTTGGCACACAGTTCCCCCCTCCTAACTCCATCCACCCCTGACTCCCCTCCCCCACTGCCATTCTGTGAAGTTAGGAATCCATAGGAGGTTTATTTGAGATGCAAGCACAAGTGTGAGAACACTGGGCTTGGGAAAAAAAATCCTTTCCTTTGGCCTGAATGGGGGCATTTAAAAAAAGAAAACAGACGTTTTTTCAGGAACTCCTTCAGGCCTGGTCCACTGTCAGCTGAACAAAACACTGCAGCCATTCAGGAAAAATAAAGCTTGATTACTGGCTAATTTGATTGAGCGTCATTGTGATAAAAGATTTGCCTCATTTAAAGCATCCCCCCCCCTCTGTTGTTTCCGTTTTATCTTATTGGGACAATAATTGTAACAAGCCTATCTAGTAAATACGTTTGAGGCCTGAATGTTTGAGGGCACAGATCAGATGCTTTATCCACAGCTGAGGCTCTGCTTAGCTACTGGTGTTCAGAAATGAAAAGGAAAGTCAGTCACACAGCGATACCCAGCCGCTTCATTCAGCTCTGCTCCCATTTACACTTTCTCAAAACATCAAAGTCGGTTGGAGTCGAATCACAGAAAAAGGGGCGCAAAGGAGACACACAAATTCAGAATTCCCTTTAAACCCAGCATCAATTTGGCTTTTCATGAGGACGAGTTGAACTGTCACTTACATGATTAATGCATTGCATCCAGGGGTTGTTTGGTTAATTTGTGTCTCCAATTTTAAAACATAACTTATGGGACTTTTTAATATTCCTGTGGCACAGAACGTATTTTATAATAGAAAGATCTTGTGCAACCTTACATGCATCCTTTCTGCATCTGATTTGCACACATATTCATGAACAATTGAACAACTGTGTGCTTCCATTGAAGTCCATAGTTATCTTCCTTAAAAAGCTGCACACACGCTAGCTCACAAAAAAGGAAAAGGGGTATTTTCTGCTGACACACGATTTGTATTTTCCGTGAGGCATTAGCACTACGAAATGGATCAAAGGATGATATTTGCAGAGGCATTGCCGGTGCAGTATAATGAGGTGAATCCAATACAATGCTGTGAAAAACATCCATAATGTCGACTAATGCACAAACATGGCGACAGTGAGAAGCTGGCTTTGAATACAAACTCTATCTTGGCTCAGTTGTCGGCCGGATTCTTTGGCGTTTTCTTTATTTTTTTTGGCTTGCTGTCTTTCGCTTGATTTTGTTCTGCACTCAAACTTAACAACTTCTAATGACAACGTTGAGGCTTATTCAGAGATGGCAGGGAGGCTTTCAGTGAGCTTGTTGCATAACCCACTACTGCCATATGTTTCTGATGTCGAAAATTAGTAATACATTTGTTTTTATTATTATTTATTTATTGCAAAAGTAGTTTAATGTTCACTATTTAAGATTTTAATTTAGGAACCATTATTTTTCTGCTATTACGGACTGCTCCTGGTGAGATAATGACGAGAAGCATATGATTAGAAAATGATCTACTATACAAATGTTTAGTTCCAAATTAGCCTCTAGTGCCCGGATGAATTGGATCAATGTGCTGTAAGTGACGTTGTCTCATTGTGCTGAATATTACTGCTTTCTGGGAACTAAAGTCCCCAGAGATGAAGTTGACAGGAAGCCAATGTGCAGGGACGTTGCACATTTGTGTTTCATTCAGTCTGCTGTGGCTGATTTGTCTGTGCGACTGGAGCTTCAACATGTTGGAGTGATGTTAGCAGGCTTCCAAAGAAAAAATGTGGGAGAGGTCCCTTCTCCATACAAGAATATTGTCATAAAATAACAATTAAAATACAAAAATAAAAATAGGTTTCTTTTACAGAAATAAATCCTGTTTCTCTTTTCAGACAAGGAAACATTTGATATCTGCAACGTTTTTACCTGTATTAGATTATGGTGACCTGCTATACATGAATGCCTCTGACCAGTGCCTAAAGAGCTCGGATACTGTGTACCATTGTGCCTTACGATTTATTACTGGATGTGGATATCGAGTACACCATTGCACTTTATATGCTGCTGCTAATTGGCCATCTTTGTCTGCTCGCAGACTTTCCCATTGGTTAGGTTTTATTTATAAATCTCTGCTTGGGTTGGTTCCCTCCTACATTTGCATATATGTGTCAAAGAGAAAGTCTATATGGCCTGCGCTCCCAAGATTTTATTCAGATGCTGGTTCCTACAGTGACAAAACTGGGTAAAACAGCTTTTAAATATGCTGCCCTCACAGCTTGGAACAATGTACAGAAGGAGCTGAAACTCTCAGAATGAATCACTGGGGGAATTCAAGTCCATCTTAAAAGGACAGAGAACACGACACCATTGGTAGATGTGAGTGCTCGTATATCCTAAAATCGTTTTAAATGTTGCCAGTTTTGAATGATTTGTAATAGTTTGTTTTACTTCGCATATTGACAGGCTAATGTGCCATTTTATTTGTGTTTTACAGCTGTATTTGTCTGCCTGTCATGTCTGTGTTTTAACTGTTGTAACTTCGTACATGCTGCCCCTCTTGGCCAGGTCACTCTTGGAAAAGAGATTTTAATCTCAATGAGTCTTTTAACTGGTTAAATAAAGGATATATAGGTCATTTTTCAATGACTTCAACTAACAATTGTTTTCGTTTTTAATTAATGATATGATTAGTTGGTCAGAAAATAGTAAAAATAAATGTGTGAATGTCTTTGTATACCCGTGCAACCAAAGAATATTCACCTGACTATATATGATAATTAAATTATTACATCCGTACATTTAAAAACTGGAACTGGAATGTTTTGCCGTTTCTTACTGAAAAGCAAAAACAATGAGCACTGAGATCACCACATATGATGTTGAATTACAAATTAGAGCCCCATATACATCTACATGCATCAGACAATACTTCTTAATATTTGGTTTCCTCACACTTTTGTGAAAGCACCAAGCTGTTAAGTAAACTGCTTTTTGGGAGGTCTATCACTTTAATTAACAGTGAGGGTGAGGCTGACAGCTGTGATGGAAATAGGCGAGCCAATCACAGGTGCTGTGTGGGGCGCAGGAAGGAATGTGAGGGAGTGTTTGACAGAAGAGGCCATGTGCAGAAATAAGATGACAGGTGGTTGGCCT